ATCCCAAATATCTTCCAATAACTTATATTATAGGGTAAAAATTGGTCGATCAAAATAAGATTCATAATTCTCGCCATCACCTCCCAAAATTGTTGAGTGAAAACTTAAATGACCATCAAAATCAAATCCAACAAATTCTCCAATTGGGGCTGCACATGAGGAGACGAGCACGACGAAGCTCCATCGGGTCTTTTCCAAGCTCGATGAATGGCGACGGCAACATCAAACGAGATGAGCTCAGCGAGTCGTTACAAAATCTCAGGATCTGCGTGCCGGAGAAGAAGCTGGGGCGATGATTGGAAGATTGACGCCGATAACGTCGAGGAGTTCAGCGCCCTATACGCGGCGGTGATGGCAGACGGTGGAGGGAACGAGGCGGACGACCGTGAAGAGGACGTGCGGGAGTCGTTTTAGGTTTTCGATTGGGACGGGGTGGGTTCACCACGGCAGATGAACTGAGGTCGGTGTTGGCTGCGCTGATGCTGAAGTATGTGAAGATGCCGGAGAAGTACCGGAGTATATATAGTCAAGATCGACTTAGGTGGCGACGGGAGGGCCAACTTTGACGACTTCCGGCAGATGATAAAGTACGGTGGGTTTGTCAGGGTAAATTTATTATTTTTTTTATATATACATTTTTTTTGTTTTGATGTGCAAATTGCAATTGCCAATTGGTTGGTTTAATTAATGGATTTTGATTCTTGCCTCCATTTTTTATTTGCGTGAGAAATAATTTATGTGTTTGATATGCAAATTGCTGTCGAAGGGTTTCTGGAGAAGACGAAGGGGAAGACTTTCGTGATAAAGTCGTGGGCCCCACATAGAGTGGTGCTGGAACACGCGGTGGCCAGATTCGTGACCGACTGCGGCCGGAGCTCCATCCTGGAGGCTGTGATGCGCGGATGCCGATGATCGGGTGGCCGATCTATGCGGAGCTGAGAATGAACATGGTGTTCATGGTGGAGGAGCAGAAGTGCCTTGATTTTTACGCACTTTGATTGTGTCTTGTGCGATTTTATGTCGTTCTTGTCAGGGGAGGAGCCACCCTAATGCTAGGGTGGGCTCCAGCCCCATGTAA